TCTTCAGATGCATAAAATGGAACATATATTGAGGATATATATATATATATATATATATATATATATATATACATACATATACACACACACACACAGAGCATGAAAAGGTGGGAGTTGTCTTACCAACTCTGAGAGGCCATTTAAGTAAGAGGGAAAAAAACTTTTGAAGTGATAATCAAGATAGCCCAGTACAGACAGTTTGATAAAAAGTGTGAGAATACTTACATGGGGAGATATATTCAATGTTTGTAATGGCTCAGCCATTCCCAGTCTCTATTCAAGCCTAAGTTGATTGTATCTAGTTTGCATATCAATTCAAGCTCAGCAGTTTCTCCTTGGAGTCTGTTTTTGAAGCTTTTCTGTTGCAAAATTGCCACCTGCAGGTCTGTCATTGAGTGACCAGACAGGTTAAAGTGTTCTCCTACTGGTTTTTGAATGTTATGATTCCTGCAGTCAGATTTGTGTCCATTAATTCTTTTGAGTAGAGACTGCCCGGTTTGGCCAATGTACATGGCAGAGGGGCATTGGTGGCACATGATGGCATATCACATTGGTAGATGTGCAGGTGAACGAGCCCCTGATGGCATGGCTGATGTGATTAGGTCCTATGATGATGTCACTTGAATAGATATGTGGACAGAGTTGGCATCGGGCTTTGTTGCAAGGATAGGTTCCTGGGTCAGTGTTTTTGTTCAGTGGTGTATGGTTGCTGGTGAGTATTTGCTTCAGGGTGGGGGGTTGTCTGTAAGCGAGGACAGGTCTGTCTCCCAAGATCTGTGAGAGTGAGGGATCATCTTTCAGGATAGATTGTAGATCTTTGATGATGCGCTGGAGAGGTTTTAGTTGGGGGCTGAAGGTGACAGCTAGTGGTGTTCTGTTATTTTCTTTGTTGGGCCTGTCTTGTAGGAGGTGACTTCTGGATACTCGTCTGGCTCTGTCAATCTGTTTTTTCACTTCAGCAGGTGGGTATTGTAGTTTTAAGAATGCTTGATCGAGATCTTGTAGTGCTTGTCTCTGTCTGAGGGATTGGAGCAAATGCGGTTGTATCTTAGAGCTTGGCTGTAGACAATGGATCGTGTGGTGTGTCCTGGATGGAAGCTGGAGGCATGTAGGTAAGTACAGCAGTCACCAGCATTTGATATGAGGTTTCCATACTGTGCAAACAGGAAGAGCGAATTCAAAACTTTCCAGGGCTTTAACGGGGAGGGATGTTCACCTTTAACGGGGAGGGATGTTCACCAGAGTGCACAGGATGGACAATGTGGGATACCTCCTGGAAGACACTTGGTGCAACCTAAGCGTTTACAATGCAGCGTTTACACTGACAGGGACAGCTCTAAGTCACCCTACACTCTATCGCGTCAAGGTGGTTTTATTAGGTCAGCATAACATGAGTGTTAAAATGGCAGGAGGAGCATTGCATTCAATCATAGTGTGCCTTTTCCTTGAGTTTTCTTCAATGACCATGTCCACCTCTCTCTAGCCTGCATTCGCTCCCTCCCTGCCTTATATTTCTGCCTCTTCTCTCCTTTCTCCCCCGCAAATCTAGAAGGACGCTATACAGTATGTCTCTTCTCTGACTTTGCCTCTCCTCGCGCACACAGCGCAGTGGAGTTTTACCCGACACCAAACAGCCCCGGGCTGATCCCCCAGCCGAAGCCAAGCCCTGGGCCACTGACACAGAGATGGAGGCGCCAGGATCCCGTTGGCAGCAGGACGAGATTCAACCCTCAGGGCGTGATCAGTCGCACCTGTCGGTGCTGGGGTCTGCGCCCGCCCTGGGGTGGCAGGTGCGGGGGCCAGGCTGAAGCTGTCCCCTGGCTAGAGCCGTGGCAGGGCGGACCCTGGCTCACCACCCACCGGTACGTCCGCCCGCCTTCCTCAGCGAGCAGGGGCTGCGGAGGCCGCAGGTCTCAGGCTGCCCACCCCTCGCCCACGGCTGTCCGCCACAACCAGCAACTTAGGCCGACCCGAGGAGCGCGCCGCGGCCTTCCGCAGCACTAAGGGTGAGCGCGGCGCAGGAGGACCCGGCCACACAGGGATGGGCCCAGGAGCGTCACCCCGCGCGGCCGAGCGGGGCAGGCCCGGGGGCTTCACCTCACGCCGCGGCCGGGAGGGGCGAGGGTAGTGGTTGCTGAGGTTGGCCCCGCCCCGAGGGGCGCAGGGCCCGCTGGGAGATCTCGGGCCCGGCCGCGGCCCCCTGCGGCGGGAAAATGTGGGGCCACGCTCACCTGCTGCCGAGGGATCCGGCTCCGGGAAGTTCCCGAACAAATCCATCCGGCCCGGCCCGGGACTCCACAGGCCGCTTCCTAGTTCCTGCTCCTCCTAAGGCCCAGTTCCGCCCTCCCTTAATCAGCTCGCGGGGCGGGATCAGAACCCCTCCCCTACCAATCACCCCGAGGGGCGGGACTACAGCCCTCTCGCTTACCAATCACCCTGAGGGGCAGGGCTATAGCCCTCTTGCCTACCAATCATCCCCGAGGGGCGGGACCAGAGCCGCCTCCTATCAATCACCCGGCGGGGGCAGGGCCTCAGACCTTTACAAGCCGCTAGTTACAAGGCAGGTCCCAAGGCCTCTCTCAGCTGCCAATCATCCTGTGGGCGGGTCCGAGTAGAGCCGTCAATCACCTGCTGGGAAATGGGGGGTCCCCAGCCCTGGACCCTGTGCTGTGGCCATCGCGGGGCGGGCAGGGCCTGCAGGTCTGGCCTTGGCCTAAGGTCAGGCTCTGGAAGCTGTTGCCCCACATCTGGCAGGGGGGTGTGAGGGCAGGGCTGTTACCCAGGTGCAATGGCCCTGCTGCGCCTGCCGCTCCCCAGTGCCAAGCCCACCATTGCCCCCGTGGCCATGCCCGGGCCACTAGGTGGGAGGTGGGAAGAACCCAGCTAACTGCCCAAGTTGGGGGGCAGTTAGAAATCTATGGAGCCATGTGAGGGCTGTCCAGGTTTTCCCACGCTCATCCCTTTTTTGAGATAGCTGTCCTGGGACATTTGTAAGGCTGGTCAGTACATACAGTTTTTCTGGCTCAGGATCATCCTGGATGGCCCAGAGGTGGCAACCCTAAGACACCTGGAGCACATCAGTGCTTCTAGGACTATTTGGAGATTCTTCCATTACCTCCTTTGTCAGCTTTCCCTTCAGACTGAGGAGTCAAGCAGCTTTTGTTTTCCCAAAGATTTAGTTTGCTCCTGATGCTATGCAATGAGGATGTGACACAGAAGAGTGCTAGTAGGAGACTGCTCTTTGCTTCTTGGGTCTAGTCACCTGACATGGATCAGGGTTATAGAAGCTTAATGTTCCAGTTACATGGTAAGAGGTCAGTATCCACTAATTCCGGTGTCCACAGAGAAGGCTATATAGCAGAAATCTTTTCCTTGGTCACTGCAGGAATGTATTAATCAGATTTAGGAATTCTGGGTTTCCAAATACCATATTCACATTGACAGATCATGCTAGTCACATAAATTAAGGCACTACTGAAAGGTGCTTAGATACCATGGTGATGGGCATAGTATCAGAAATGGATTATAATAGAACAGAATCTGCAAAACTTTCTCTGAGAGCTTGCAGTGTTTTTAGTTTTGTCCCCTAATATTTTATGTGCCATATATCACTATCTCCCTAGATGACTTCTGTCTATATTCACAAAACCAGGAAGAAGGGAAGGGATAAGATGAATGTTTCAGTGTTAGATAGAGTACACATATGACCTCCGTGTTTGCTGCCCAGAATAGAATGAAAAATTTGAGAACTGGAGCTAGCTGAAAAATGAGGAACAGTTTAATGAAAACATTTCATCCAGCTCTTCTGAGAGCTGAGGTCTCCCCTTCAGCAGACCGGCACTTATTAGCACTGTCCATGCTAGACAGGCTCACATGGAGTCAAATTCACTGCTTGTCTAAAGTGAAGTGAATTCACTAGATTTTAAAGAGTTGTGCACATTGACATCAGCGTGAATTTGGCTCATTATATCCACAGTGGTTTCTTCTTCAACTGTGAAGGTTTTTAAGTGCCTCAGGAATAATTATCTGAACCAGATGAACCAGTCTGAAGTAGAAACACTGAACCCAATTGTCCCTTTCCATAGAACCCCGGCCCAGGATGATCTGTGGGGGAGGAAATTTTCTTGAGGTTCCCCTCTTGTAGTTCTCTTCCCAGTTATTTTGTTAGGGAAAAGGATGAGCCTCCCCGGAAGAGCCAACTGTGATTCTCAGGAACGGTGGGAAGCAAAAACCAGATGCATGGGGTGGATCCACTGTTCCCACAGGTGCCCTGCTCCTGCAAAACAGCTCCAGTGAAGTCAAGCTGTCAAGGTTTCTGATGCTAGCAGCTGCCCCTGGGGCTGTCCAAAAGAGAACTCCCCACTCGAGGGCATGGGGCATAGAAAAATAATGCTGCCTTGGGATGACATTTACACAGCAGATGCCATTAAAACCTCCGCCTGCAATTAAATCTATAGTAGTATCTCCTGTTCTAAACGTAGGCCACACTTCACATAAGTGAAACTGCAGTGCTGTAAATATCCTCTGAATTGGAAATGATCTAATCCTTATTGTACTGTGCCAGAACTTTTCCCAGCTTTTAAGTCTTTATAACAGAGTTCTGCTAATGACTATTCTCATGGTGCTGACATCTATGGTATATTTTTTGATACATCACTGTGCAGCACCTTGTGCGTTGTACGTTGCCTGGTTTAAGATGTTCCATGGGGGGGGGGGCGTGTTTGTGCTCAGTGTATTTGCCTGGGACTAGCAGAAGCTTTTAATCAAAGATTTAGGTGACTAGCTTCAGGGTTCCTTCGGGGAGGGCTGAGTGGCTTATGAACTCTTAGACCAGTTTTCAGAGTAGCAGCCGTGTTAGTCTGTATCCGCAAAAAGAACAGGAGTACTTGTGGCACCTCCTAGACTACGATAGTTAGCACAGCAGAGAATGAAGCCTGTGTTGGTCGAATTCTTGAACTGAGA